GATTCTTTATCACCTGCTCCCTGCAAGGCAAACTGCAGGGCTGCTTCCCTTCTGTAGCAGCTGTGCTGGAGAACTGCTGATGAGGAACAAAATGAGAGCTACTGAGCAATCATTTGGAGACTGGCTATTAAAAAAAAAAAGCCAGCTAATTAGAGCTTAGAGGAAGAGGCAACACTTTGTGCAAAAACACCAGAAGGTAGGCCCTCCAAATCCCATACACTCCCTGTAAATAGCTATAATTAACCCCACAGTATTCAATTTATTAATTAAAATTTAATTAATATTTTCTGTCCTTGACAATCATCCTAGAGGCGGTCAGGAAAACATAGTGGCAGCTGGGTTTCCGTAGAGCAGCAGTGACATTCAAGAGGGCAGAGGCACAGGAGACTCCTCTCAGTCTCCCAGTCATACCTGTGATAAAACAGAACTGAAACTGGTCACTGGATCGCTGGCAAAGAAGGGGAGGATGGGTAACAGTGCAAGCCCCAATCTTCTTCTGCACACTTTCAGACATCACCCTACAAAAGCAGCACACACTTGGGTTATTTGAAAGTGTGAGAGGGAGGAATAGTGAGAAAATGAATGTCGTTATTACTTATTTGACCACACCAACTGAGGGCTGCTGTACAGCACTGTGTTTCACTTGGTTTTGATGTTCTGCTTGGTGCTTTGTCCGAGTAGAGTGAGCTCAGCAGAGATACCTCTCCTGAACTTCGTGGGCCCCATCAAAGTAGAACAGCTATTGCTTAAAAATGCTGTGTCTGTACTGGTAGCTTGGCGCACTCCTGTTTTGCTCCAGGGTTGGTTTTCCTGGTCATTCATACTACCCGTGGTCAGTATGTCAGACACCCGTCAGTGTCTGAGCTCTCTTCTGGAACAAATCTGTTGGTATCCCCAAGGGGAAATGTGAGTGTCGTCAACGATGTAGTTCACTCCAGGGTTTGCTCCAGACAGACAGGATAGATGTGGAAGACACCAAATGTATTTCCTTCAACAAGGACAGTGCTTCAGCATTATTCCAGGTTAGGCAATAGCATAATTTGTGCCCTCACCCATCCTTTTCCTAGGGCACGCCAACAATTTTTTCTGGCATTGTAATGTTTTTGATGCAGCACTGCTCTGCTGGCCTGCAGCATGCACCTGTTAGTATTCTCCATACTTTGAACTGAAAAAAAACCCACCAAGCCTATGCACAGAAGATAACAACTGTTAGCTACAGGGTCACAAGAGGAGACGTGAGCCGAGCACTATGCAGCGTGGCTGCAGCCAGCCCACTCAGTAGGGAGCAAACTCTTAACAGTGTGGTCATGAGGAGTCCTGCAAAAACTGGCCTGTGGGCAAGGGTCTGCAGTACAGGCCTGGTGAGAATGGCCATGAGGTAAAGAAGGTCTTGTATTCCCCATTTAACAGAAGAGTGCAGACTGACTCAGCATGAGAACATACTCGGAGTGTGTTGAAACCAGATCTCTCAGGTTACAGGGAAAAAGCTTTCAGTACAGAACTGTTAGATAGAAGCAAGTGGGGAGAGGAGATGGGACACAAGCACTATCATCACCTCCATCTTCTTGTCTTCTCTCTGCTCCTCTGGATGAGACATGATGGGTTAGGCAGGTTTTTGATACACCTAGTGGATCAGGCCCTTCTGGTAGTGAAGTGGCATGCCATTTCTCAATCCTAGGGAGGCAGGCACCAAGCTGTTCAGTGCTATGAGGTCAGAAGTGCTTCTGAGCACACCCAGAAGCAGAACTGGAGGTTCCTGGTGAATGTCAGCATTAGAAAAGATGAGTGTCACAATTCGGAGTCTCTTTGGCCTCTGGGCTTTGGTGCATAACTGCAACTTTAGGACCATTACAGACTCTGCTCTTACGGTCTCTCCTGTGGTCACACGAGAAACCGGCCTCAGGCCCACTAGACCATGAGTTACATCTCCCCATCAGTTGCGTGCTCCCAGACATGGCCAACACTGAGGAGTGATGGGGGGCTAGAATGAACAAGTTCTTTACCCTTGTGGGAAAGGAAGTGCCTCTGATGCCTTGCAAAGGTGCTCACGCAGGGCTGTCCCCAGTCTGCCAGCAGCAAGGCCAGAAGGACGGAGATGAAGATGCCATTGCTATTGCAATGGTTCTGTTGGCTTCAATCTGGGACACCCGATACGGCAATGTTGAGTCACAGGAGCATTTAATCTTGTGTTGCCACATGTGATGAAACAGGCCCGATCCATTGTTACACTGTTGGTAATTCCAGGTAGATTTCAGTAGAACTGAGGGAGGTGGAGATAGATGCCGAGAATCACTGCAGCCTTCATCCCAAAATGAAACTTCAAATAAGCACAGTAACTGTCCAAGAACTATTGCAACTATTGTCTGACTTTGCGTGCGTGATTTAGCCGTTTCTTTCTTTCTTTCTTCCAATCTAGTAAATGATTTTAACTGAATTTTTAGAAATGTACTTCCTGCACCTCTCTAAAATTCACCAGCTTCTCTGACTTTTACAAAAAGAAGAGGGGGGGGAAAAAAAACAAACCCCAGGCAACTCACTGCTAAGATTTGAATTCGACATTCATAACAACAAATAATCCAAACGATTTTTGCTTTACTGTTAGTCATTTGTACTAACCTGCAATTAAAAGGCTCAGCATTTGTTCTCATCTCTTTCTGAAATTACATTTTCCACTTCCTAGGCCCTGGCCTCAGGCAGTGGATTTTTGAAGCAATCATGCCTTGATAATTAATGTTTAAAGATGAATGTTGCAACTTCTAACACAGTGTGTCGCTGAGTAAACATCCAGCAACGCCTGGTACCAAAAAAGAATACAAAAACTACAAGGCTTTTACTGGAAGCTGCAGGTTTTGCGGACATTATCCTTAGAGCTCCCAGCTGCAGTACGTTCGATTACCCCTTCCTCTATGCTTGTGGATGGGGGAGACTGCCATGCTTAAAAAAAGCAGAAGAAAATAAATACCACATCTAATCTGTCAGTTCTTTGTGCCACTGACTCATCACCCTGGAAAGCTTGCTGGGAACGATTAGCTCATACAGAGAGGGAGGAGACAGATCTTTGACAAGTGATGTGTAGTTGTAAGACGACCAGTGCCATTTTGTATTTTTGCAAAAGGGGAGGAGGACAAGGGATGGAGCGGGAGGAGGGGAAGGGGTAAAAATGGAAGATGGGGGGCCAAGGTATGGTCAGAAGTTCCTTATTTCATGTCCCTTCGTTTGTCCCGAGTCTGCCTTTTCTCTGTAGAAGCCACAGCTTCCAGTCTGTTACTAACCCAGTTGGTTTTACCTGTGATAGCAGCCCATCCTGCACAGGGCTTCTGTATGAGACACCAAGTGCTCCTCAGTAGCGTTATCTGAATCTCTCATTGCAGCATTTTTTGGTGCTTCAGAAATTAAGTTACTGTATCATCCCTTTCTAACAGAAATCCATAGCTACTGAAAAGGCAAGTGGGAAAATCAGCAACTTTGGCATTTCAGGAAGGGGAAAGGGTAGTCTGGATTGAGACTGCCTCCTTACTTTAGGCATCTGACTTGGGCATTGCAATCCTGATTCAGACCTTTTGGAAGACACACCTCATGCCTAACATTTCCCAATCAGTTGGCACGAGGCAGCTGCCTCTTCACCTGAGACTCCTAAGACAGGAAAAGTAGGGAAGTCGTCATGCGGTCTTGTGAGTGGTTTCTGTCAAAAGTGGCAGGGGGGTCACACTGTACCATGGGAGGGGTCTGGTCATGCCAGGGACCCCATACTGCATCCACTAGTTTGGTACGTCCCCTTCCAATCTGATCTCTTAGTGCTGTTTCTCATACACTGAAGCCTTTCCTGGTCTGGCAGAGGCCAGTGACAAAATCCTAAACAGATCAACTGGCGCAAGAACAGAATACTACTTTGGGCTAGTTTTCCTTTTTTTTTTGTTCCCTTCTTCTACCTTCCAGAAAAGAGAAGGAAATTCCCAATCCACACACAACTGTTGTGCAGGTCGGCAAACCAAGTTCAGAGCAGGTGCTTTGGGCTTTGTTACTCTTTGATGTTCTTTCTGCTCAGAAGAAACCAAAACCCAAAGAGCTCCTGGGAGAGCTCCATGTGTCTGATTCTGCAATTAAGTGTGAAAACGGAACCTCCCAAATAAGCTTGCCTTTCTGGAAGTGAAGTTCAGTCTCTAAGAAAGATTAGTAAGAGAAACATTCAGCACTAGTCATGCTCATTTGGGTAACAGGCAAGTTTCTGCCTGTGCTCACTTCTAGTATTCATTATGAATGTGTATTAGTGACTTCCTAAGCAGTAATCCCAGCTGAATAGTAAATGAAGTATTGCCTTCTGCTTTAATAATTTCCTGTCCTTTTAGCATTGTTTATATACCATCAACAGCTTGCTGATACATTAACTGGGTACCCAGTGTGTGGCTATTTTATTATCCATTGCTTTAGTTATCTGCCCAGATTGCTGATCCTAAAAGGATTAAGCTAATTTTTAGACTATTGTGCTGTTGAAGCACAGTGGGTTTGAATTATTTTTTGGGGTTTTTTTGGCTCCTTTAAAAGTTTTCCAGTAAAGATGAGGACCTATTTGTACTAAACTTAAGCCTGCTCAAAATAGCTTGCTTGCGTTTTTTCTGTTGATTTTTCACAGATCCCTTAATAAACGGAGGTCCAGAGAGCACTACTGCAGGGTACAGGGTGCTTCAGTTACACTACATGTTAACATGACACAGGTCGTTCAGCATTTTGCAAAATTGAAGCGTTACCAAGTCCCATGGAATGGAAAATGCTTCGGGAGTAAAAGCAGTGTGTTTTTCAAGAAATGCTAAATCCTAAACAGATCATTCAAATGCAGTGTAATAAAGACTCTACTACAGCTAATGAGAAGATTTTGTTCAACCTCAGTGGGCTCTCAAACAGGCGGAGATAATACGCTTGCCCTTGCTAACAGCGTTCACTTAGCTGTGTTTCCTTTCCTAGACTGGGAATTAGATTTCCTTCTCCATTTTTTGTAGAGAAAGATTCAAACTACTCAAGAAGATCATGTGGGAGCCACCGTGTTTAGAAGAAGGAGCTGCATTTGAATAGAAGATACCACCCAACTTCATGTTCAGCCATTTAGCTTTAGTCAAAATAAGCATCCTTACCGTGCTTTTGAGCTGATTCCCTACAACAGACCGTACCAGTCTACTGCATACACTGCCTTGCTGCAATGAGGGACTGTAAAAGAGCCCGCATAAACAAACAGCAAGCAGCCATCTCATGTGCCAGCTCACACACATGTGTGCATGTGTTCGCACTGGTGAGCATGTATATTAAGCCATCCAAGTTTCTACACCTAAGGTTGGAAATGTTTATCTTTTTTTTTCCTGGGCTCCATTCCCAGCTTACTCCAAATCCTGTCCCCAGACTTAACATACTTTGTTCTTACATTGCCTACTTTGAAGTCTATGGACCCGAATTGGGCAGGCTCCCAGCACCCTGAGTTGTCTCTGGACCAGACATTTTATCTAGAGGACATTTTGAAAGACGTATGAATCTTGACTTCAAAGGCCATTTCATAAGGACCAGGACTGGTAAAGAAGCAAGGCACAGAGCAATTTGATCAGGGGCACAGTCAGCCAAGTGTCAGGGATGAGGGTAAAATTTAGGGATCTGGCTTTCTACTTGCACCAGAACATAATTTGCTGTCTTTGTTTTGTTTTGCCTTTTGCTCTTTCTCCTCCTTACTTCTTCACTATTAGAATTAAAATCGTAATTTATGCTCCAAATTCCTTTTCTTGTTCTGAAACCAGCAATGAATGTTGTAGGTTTTTCTGAAGGAAAACCTTTCTCTAAAGGTGCCACAAGCTACAGTTTTCTCTCTAGGAGCATGGGATAGGGAGAAAAAAGCTCCATTAGTGACCCTTTTGCTATGTAACCTTTCCTTAAAATGCCAGCAACTGAGCTTCCACAGAGAGAACAACAAATATTGAGAGAGGAATGTGAAGGACATTATGAAAGAAGAAAGCAAGAAAAGGGATCTGCTCAGACAAGTTTATCAGGAAAGGTGATGTAATATGTACTGTAGAAAATCCTAGCGGTTGACATAACTTACTCTCTTTCTAAGTAGCTGTGGCTGCCAGCAGGCTGGGAGAAACAAAACCTACAGCTGGGAATACAGCTGAGCAGACTGTTTTGTCCAAAAGAAATATAGTAGGTGTAAAACTTGTTTTCTAAAGATGTCATTGAAGTTTAATTGAAAAGTGTCCTATTAATTAAGTCTGAGCGACCAATGGATGAAAGTCTCATTTCTGTTGGGGCTGTTCATGGTGATACTGTAACATTAACTCCTGCATGCTGGGAGTACTCAAGATGCTGCTGTTGGGATGCCGTGGTATGCAGTTCTGTTACAATCACACAGTCCCATTCCTAGAGTTTAGCAAATGTTTAACAAGCTTTTTAACAGCTGTCTTGAAAATTGCCTGGCTTTGTATTGACTGACTTGCACATATTCAGCCTGGTTTCCTACAAAAATGACTGTTCTCAGCATGCGTGTTGTGCGTGTGTCCGCATCCGTGTATATACAGTTTGGGAACCTCCCTCCATGTTACAACAGACCTGACAGAGAGGCACAGGGTCTTTGAGATATTGAAGATACTGGAATTTTGTGGAAGCAGGTGGCTGGATACTGAAGAGGGTCTGGATCTTCTCTGCAGGGGAGAGGCTGCAGGGAACTGTGCTCTCAGTCGGCCTTGGAGACTCCAAGAGGCCCAAATCTGGAGGATCCCAGGTTTTCTAATTCCACTTCTCACAGAGCTTACTAGTTTAAAGATCTTGGCTGCAGCCTGAAATGTTTCATCTTTAAAAACACTAACTCCTCTACTTTGTCCTTCCTGGTACATGTACAAAGCAAAATGCTGCATGTGCAGAGACTGGTAAACACAAAGTGCCATTAGAAGAATGAATGTATCAGTTTTCAGGTTCATAAGTAGGCTAGTTCATAAAAATTGGATAAACTGGTAAACAAAAAGTCCCAGCACATGGACTATTGTGGATTTATTCATTATTACCTACAGAGGAAGACCTGTACAGGAGGAATGTCTATTATGAAAATTATATTTAGTTGTAGGACTGAAATACGTGGTCGTTACCTCCTTTTTAGAAACAATACTAGCACTGTTCAGACAGCCAGCAGGCGTGGTTTCATGCAAAAGAATGTGTGGTTATTTTCATACGTTTTTTGTGAATAAGGCCGGACAAAGCTGCAGGAGATCCCTAATGTTTTTGATGGGACTACTGTCATGTCAAAATGTCATGTGCTACCTTCTCGCTTTACTGTAAATTGGTTATAAGGAAAACAAAGGCAGTAGGACCGACAGTACTAGATGTTGTCTTGGAGTGGGAGGTCGAGGGACCCTGTTGAATCCTTAGGAATGTCTGAATATTCTTCCTCTCCCTCTGCTACATACCCACTCCTTTGCATTTTCTCTTTTGTTCTAGGTGGAGCCTGGATAAGAGCTGTCAAGGAGAGCTTTTTAGCTGGATTGAGGCTACCAAGTGATAGCGATCTTGCCACCACCATTTTAGAGGACTGCCACCAAAAAGCCTGTTGTTATGCCGAGTGTTTTACAGGACAAATAACACTCCCTGCTTCCTCAACTGCCTAAAATCAAGCCATAGATACTGAGCTTCTATCTGAATACGGTAAGTCAGGCCTCAGAAGCCTGCATTCATTGCACGATTGAGTTTAAAGTAATTATAGCTGCCAGCCTATCATACAACTGTTTTAAACCAAGCCAGGGGAAAAATCACTAGAGCACAATGCTGTGTAGCTGACACTTATATTGCCAGATCTCTCCCTTTGTACTAAAACTACAGTAAATGGGGTCTTGTTAGTACACCCTAGCACTGTGTTGATGTTGAGTTGCATTTCAAGAACTCCCTCAGTTACAGCAGTGCTGAGGCCAGAAAACTGCAGTGGATCACTGGAAAAGCCCTGTCCACTGTCAAAAACAGTTTTGCTTCTTGGCCATGACAAAAGCTCAAGATTTCTCTGTGCAACTTCAGTTTAGTTCCTAAACTGGAAAGTGCAGAAGACATCTCCTAAGCTGGCCAGTTACTTAAGCGAATGAAGTGGCAGTCTACTTTTTTTACTAGGGTAGAAAAACAAGGATCAGAAAGTGATGTTACCAATCAAAGTGACAAATCTCTATCCCTAAAGATACAGTATGCCAAAGGTTACTGTATCACTAAAGAGACAGTAACCTTTCAAAAACCTCTATGCAGGATACAGTATCCCTGAAGTATCCCTTAAGGTTACTGTATCCCTAAAGATACAGCAGCCTTTCAAAAAGCTCATCTTGCGTTTTCCTTGCAATTTGCTGGGCTCTGTTTAGGAGAAAGTTTCCCCCAACTAAAACCTTGGTGGCTAGAGAGGTGGGGGAGGAAGGGCAGCGTAACTGGTTGCTCTCCTTTTGCATAGAGATGCAAACCAGCTGGTTGGCCTTTAGGCCAGCATTTGATAAAACTTTGTTCCTTTGCTATTCCCACTAAATCCTTTCTGGTGTCACACTCACATATGCAGCCCTTTCCCATTCCCGCATAACCCCCATGCATACTGTTGCTTCTTTATAAAAGTCCATTTGTGGTTTGAAAAGCTCGTATCAGAAACAAAGCTATTTAAATCTCTCGTGATTTCTTATGTTTTTTCTTTTGGTGTCTGAGCACAGTTGCTAAAAGTCTGAGAATTGTTGTTGCTCCCATTTGAATTTCTTCCCCTCCCCACCCCTAAACCGTGTGACATTTTTAGCTTCAAACTGTACAGCAGGGAGCACGTTAAACATCAAGTCTGAGAGAAATGGGAAACAACATGATGGGGCTGCAGCTTTAGGTGCTGCAAACAGCCCAACTCTCCATATTAAAAATCAACCACTTTTTTGGTTTAAAGTGTGAACGGTCCATCAAAAAGCTACATGAAATCCATTTTCTGGGTGATGGAATGTACGCCTGCCTAGTTTGCTTCCTATTAGGTTATTAACACTTACTGCATCTGTAACTGCTGGTTATTGGAGGAAGGACTTAACTTTCTACCAGAACCCTGGGACTAATTAAAACATTGCCATTAACATTTAATGAGAAAGTTGTTACTTTCACCAGTAAACTGGCTTAGACTCTTAGTCCCATAAAGCACAAATGGCACATACTGAATCATAGTTAACAAGCGGATTTGGGGAAAAACGCAGTCAGAGCAGTGCAGCTTGTTGCATAAGTTAAAAATGATTCGTTGCTTTCTTCTTACTTTCCCCACCAGTACTGGATATTATATATGCTAACTAATATTCATCTCTCAGCAAGGCATCGAGACCTTGTAGGACCAGTTCTTTCTTCCAGTAAGACCTTTGCATCATAAAACGGCCCAGACAAAACATCCCCAGGGGAAAATTCCATGCTTATAGGAACTTCCAAGCCAGGGTATAGCACCATTTGCTTGCCTAGCTGCTTGTCTTCGGTGTAGGAGAATGGCCTGTTACAAAGCAATGGCCAACACAAATGGAGAAGAACAAATAAGACACTTGAGTGTGTGTCTAATGGAGTATTGAGGGCAGGAAAGGAGGAAGTTTTGCTCCTCTTCTGTGCCAGCCTTGGGCAGAGGAGCAGATCTGGTAAATTTTAGCTCTGTATATCTATCAGCCAATTCTGCTGTCTTATTGTTTGTACATACACATAGTAAACTAGCCAATTCTGTCTTCTCTGGTACCAAGTTATACTTCATTTAAAGTGGTTGGATTTACACTGAAGAAGCATCACATGAGGAGGGTAATGTTTGGAGACTATGGGTCCTCATTACTAATGTTACAAAGGTTAAAAAAAAATACCTCAAGCCATTTCGCAATGCATTTACAGAGAGAATGGTAAGAGCAGTGAATAGTGCATTTTATTCCAAATGTTTCATTTAATGAAGATTAAATACACATCTGAACACTGTCACTTTGGGGTACATTCCTAATCTGGCTTTGCTCTTGCTTATAGCGGTACAAATCAAGAATTACTCTGCTGAAGTCAGCAAAGTCATTACCCTGTATTAAACTGAAAAGAGAGTGAGTCTTGCTTTTTACCTCTACAGCAAATCCTGTTCAGTTCAGTATGAATACAGCAGTACGTTTATGTGAAATGCAAGAACAGAGACAATTGGTAAATCTGTGCCCTAAATTCAGTACAGAGTTCTTGAGCTGAATTTCCATCTGAGTACTCTTGAACACTGCAGCACTAAATCTCCTTTTCCTGCAGTGTAATCTAGTTTCTTTTCCCCAGAAAGAATTATATTTTACTTTTTGTAAACAGAGGCCACATGAAACACATGGCAAAAACCTCAAAGACTGTAGCTTATATATATTAAAAAAACAACAACCCACAAACTTCTGTTTTGAAGCTAAATGCAGTTTTTGAGTTTATCAGCATTTTTTATTCCATACCAGTTTTCTGCATAGTGGAAAATATACACCCTTAGGAGGGTAACAAATATGATAACTCATTAAAAAACAAATTATCTAGGAAAGTAATTTTTTCCATTATGAAGGTGGCTTGTCATATATTAGTAAAATGAATTAGTCACATAGCACACCTTTCACAACCTCAAAAGAATTAGATTATAGCCCATACGTTCCCATGTGTAACAGGAGCAGCTCTCCTCTTTGTACATACACCACTATCACTCCACAGTTTCTGATTATGTTTTATTCATATGTAATCATAAATCACTCACAAATCAGTCCAAAGCCTAAAACTAACCAAACCAGTTCATATTTCTGGCATGAGCTATTCTATTTGCACATCTTTCCAGATTAAAACATTTCTTGTTGTGATATGGAAAGACTCCAGGTACATGGTGTTCAACGGGAAAAGGTGACAGCATGACATTTAGGAGATGTATGCATGGGGAAGGGAGAAAAAGCAACAGGGAAAGAAAGGCACATTTGCTTTTGACCCACTCAGTAGAAGAAGGTCAAGTGAGCAATAGCTACCTAATTCATCCTTTGATTTAGCACTCTGCTTTCTGGGACTGTTCAGCGTAGAGAAGGCTCAAGGGGGATCTCATCAATGTATGTAAATACCTGAAGGGAGAGTGTGAAGAAGAGGGAGCAAGGCTCTTTCCAGCTATGCCCAGTGATGGGACCAGAGGCAATGGCCACAAACTGAAACACAGGAGGTGCAGTCTGAACATCAGGAAACACTTTTTCACTGTGAGGGTGACTAAGTGCTGGCACAGGTTGCCCAGGGAGGTTGTGGAGTCTCCATCCCTGGAGATACTCAAAAGCCATCTGGACATTGTCCTGGACAACTGGCTGTAGGCAACCCTGTTTGAGCAGGAGGATTGGACAAAGTGACCTCCAGAGGTCCCTTCTGACCTCAACCCTTCTGTGATACTGTGATGCTGCTTTGGTCTCTTGTCAGTGAGAAGGTGAGGCACCTCATTTTCTTGGTGGCTCCCTTCAATCGTTCCCGATTTTGAGCAAATTTTAGAAATGCAAAGGGTGCTCCAGCAGCCAGGAGCTCTGGAAGGGACCCCAACAAGCATGTAGAGTTTGCAGTGGGGTCAGGATGGGCAACCTGACATCTGGCAAATTAATAGAAACAAAGCAGGAGTGCAAGAATTACGTATTACTTCCACTTCAATCACTCTGAGTAACATTCCTGTCCTTTTTGTTTCAGGGAGGGAGAGCTGTGACATAACTAATAATACACTTCAAGTATCACCTGATGACTACAGCTTTGTGCCAGTGGCATCGGGAGCACAGGAGGGATGCTGAGAACTACTGTGAAAGGACTTGTTATGTGCAAAAGCAAAACAGGGAAATCTGGGTGCCTGAATTTTATGACATTTAATTTCAGTGCAGACTACTGAGGCCTTGGTGGTTTCTGGGGTTATAATCATGTTTTTCAGACTGATTTACCATGTCATTCTCCTGCACAGGATGAAGATAAGCACATCAAGGGGTGCTTAGGTCCAGGAGCTTTACAGTGCCAGTTGCTGGTGCTGCAAGCTGCAACACTTAGTTCTGGCCATAGACAAGAATCCCAGACTTAGGGGCTGCAGTGTGATCACACTGGGGGAAGCACAGAAAAAAGGGTCACACACCTCCTCCATCTCCTGTGACTAGCTTGTCTTCTTGAATGCCAGCTCTCCTACATGCTAAGAAATAGCTGAGCTGGACTTAATGCAGTGGTGGGCAGCAGAAAAAGGTAGAAGGCAAGTTCGGTGCCAGGCTCAACACTGCCTTTTCTCAGAATGTCCCCTTCCTGGAATGGCTTCCCATCAGCATGGCAAGACAAGGTGGCAATTTCTCTTTCTTCCTTAAGTGCATTTAGCAAAAAGGCAGGCTAGAGGAGGCTGAAACTTTCACAAACATGAACTCTGTAATGCTAAGCTGAGTTCAAGCAAAGGTGCAGCACTTTCAAACCATACCTGGCACATTAGGGCAACCATGACAAGCAAGATACAGAAGTACAATTGCAGCTTTAATGTAGAAGTAGCAAGTTTCTGTCATACTGAAAATATAACATCTTGGCAAGTTACAAAGAAGGCATTTTTTCATACTCTGCAGTAGACAACCCTGTTGTCAAATAATAATGCCTTCATCTTCTGATGGTGCCGTTGGAAGTGGAGAAGGAGCTCTTTTCACATCTTGCTCTATTCTGCCTCTGCTTCTAATAAATACCAGTGCCTGCAGCTGAAAAGCTCTATGCTAAAGTGCCCGGGTTTCTCAAACAGAGACCTCAGAGAAGCACTGCTGGGGTTAACATACTGTTTTGCCCAGGCATATACAAGTGTATTGCAGAAGGCACTATGCAAATAGTGTTCACAGAGTTTATAATTTCCTGTTGGAACAGCAAAGAAAAGAAGGTCATTGATTTAAACCAGAGAATACAAATGATTTCCTGCCCAACAAAGCTGCCAAATGCTTGGAGTTATTGATTTTTTTCTCCTCCCTGCTGCTAACCAAACACTTCTGGTCCTGTCATGGGCATCATCAGCTTATTGACTAAGTAAACATAACCCATTAAGCTGAACATTTTAAAAATAATAGAAAATTACAGTGGCTATAGTAAAAAAAAAATCTGCATTCCAAAAAAATAAAAATAAAAAGGAGCGGAAAAACAGTTTCTGAACTTAATTAACTTTTATGTACATTCAACTTTCTGGAATTTAGGTTTGCATCCAAAAGAGAGAGAAAGGAATAAATTGAAAGAAGACTGGGGGAAAAAAAAAAAGCCCTTTCTTAAAGAAGCCAAAAAGGGGAGGGTGCAGGGAAGTGGGTACTTCAAATTTTAAGACCCTGAGGAAAAGAAAAAAAAATTGCAAAATTGAGATTGAAAGGGTAAAAAGGTGTGGCAGCAGCATGGTAATGGCATGTTTTTATTTATTTTTTTACTTACTAGCAGCAGGAGGTCTGTGCTGTTGTCTGAATATTTTTCTTGAAGCCAGAGCCAAGCACAGCTGATGCCTGGCCTTGGAACATGTCAGTTTGAAGATAGCACGTACGGTATTAATAAATGTAGAACAATACTTGCTGTCAAGTTGGTTACAAGGCAGTAGTTCACTGAAGGGGGCCTGACAATGTCAAAAAGCATTAGACCAGAGCCAGCAAATGCTTTATACGCTACAGCTGATCCCAAAAGATGAATTGATGCCCTGGATCTGACTTTAAGGCATCTGTCTGCACTGGAGAGCGTGTGTTTGTCTGAAGAAGCAGGGAAACAAGTTGCTTTTCTCTTCTCCTCCAACCATCTGCCTACACATAGAAGGCAAGGAGCAAGACAAGGAGAGAGCAAATCATAGTATGTTGTAAATGGACAGGGATGCCTTGCAGACAAAATATTCTTCAAAAGTAGGAGCACACGCTCAGGAGAGGTGTTTAAAGGCAACACTGAACAGCAAGGAGACAGCTACCAGGCTGGAACACCACAGAGGGGGCTGGCTGTCTCCTGGGACTGTCTGTTGCAGGTGCGGCTGCTGGCTTCACTGGCCAAGAGCCTTGCGGTCCTTTGGTGTGAGAGCTAGCAGCAAGAGAAGAGCCAGTCAGAAGAGACACCAGGAGGGAAGTAAACAAGCAGATTACAAAGTGATGAAAAATAAGGGTATCAGCCTTCTACAGTGACTTAGAAGAAGGTGTGACCATTTCCTCCTCACCCTCATGCCTGTCGACTGAAGAATACTATTAAGGCAGGTAGTCACAGATTATTAATGACCTGTTAACAGCTTCTTTAATTTTCTAATAAGTGCCAACTGTGGCTGCTGTAATTATTCTGCTGGTCCTACAACACGCCCTGTGCCAGGCTGCAAAATACTTTTTTTTTTCTGGAACACATTGTCGTGCCTCTTAACATGCGTGTACTGCACACGGGCAATTTCATACCTAAGTAAAATGACATCTTAGGCTGTCAGAGCATTTTGCAGCCATTAAATGTCGCTATCTTCCAGCAAAGTAGGAACCAGGAAGTGTTTAGTCACTTATTTTTACATGTGTGAATTGAGACACCCAAAGTTATGGTTTTAGCCACAGTGATACAGTAAGTCAGTCCCTGAGCTGCTTGTGAAACCTGGGAGCACCGTCTTCTGCTTTGCCTGCGCTGGTGTCGTATGAACTGCAAAAGCCACAGATAAATTAGAAATAATACTGAGCAGGGGCTTTTTCTATCTAAGCAGAGGTCCCTGGGAGTAACATCGTATAAAAGGGATGGTATCTCTTTATCACTCTTCCTAATTCCCACAAAGAGAGAGCCAAGTAGCATGCGATGAGAAAACAAAAACAAACGGAAAAATGTGTATGTTGTAGTCAAAGGCAGTGTCTTTCCATTGCAGCCTTCAATTTAAGGAGTCTGTGGGCATGGATCCCTGCCAGCGTCATTAGCAGCAGTGATTCCCCGCTAACTGGTCCTGTTTCCTTTTCTAATGGATCGCAGCACACCTATGTGTCTCATGTATGCCACATTTGTCAAATTTCATTGTATTTAGCCCTTGGTAATCTAGCATTTGATCAACAAACCCCACGAACAAGTATTTGAAGATTACGGTAGCAATAAGTTTATGGGGAAATAATGTATGTTGTTAGCAGCCCTGTTTTAAAGCTACTAGTGAGGGTATGTCTTGAAAATGCCATAAAGCAGCCTAATTTTCAAAGATCCCAGCACTTTTAGGAAACAATGATCCTGTAAAGGTATTGCCTGTTGAGCACACACAAAGCACCCTATGTTTTGAAAAATCTCACCCATCAACAGTACATAAAAGTGTGGTTTGTGCTTTTGTCCGGCTCTTGGACTGTCACACCTCCTGTTGGGCAAAGCTCTACGCTGTAGCTCCATAGCAAAAGCTTGTCCCCGTATCCCTAAAGGTAGGTTCACTGTAGGAAACAGCCCTGGAGTTGTGCTGAACCTGTCTAGGCTGGTATGTTTTAGCCTAAGAGAGGGCATGGTGCATGGGCAGGGACACAGCCCAGGTCTCCAGAGACCAAGTGCCCGACCTGGCACAGGCTTCCTGTGAAGTCGTTCCGTGTTTTTCTGCCACAGCTCTGCAAAATGAAAAAAAAAATCCCTGCCTTCCCTAACAGGAGCTATAGAAGGACCTAAGATTTAGTGAATGAAATAGAGACATCATTTAAAACATTAAACAGAGAGAGGATTTTTTCCCTCACATCTTTTCCCACACATGTTCTGAGGAGGAAAATATGGATTGCAGTCAGCTGTTCTCTGAAATTCCTCTTGCCCTGACTCATTTTTGGAAGAGACGCTGGTTCATGTCCAACTGTCTTGTGAGCATCCAGCATATCTTTTCCTTTTTCAAAGGATGGATGGATAAATTGGTAGCTACTCCTCAGATCAAGTTAAAGGTCTGACTCCAGATGCTGCACCTGCAAATGGTGTGGCAGGTTCCACCACTTCCTTCATCCTTTCGCTATCTCCATCTCGCACAGCTCTGTGCGCAAGTTAACAAGCTGGATCTGTCTGAACAGAAACCTTCAAGTGTTATGGGAGTTTCTTTTCTTTCCTTTTTTTTTAATGGTTCCCATCATAACTTTTTTTTCCCTTTTTGTTTTTCTGAGAATAGAATGTTTCTAGGTCAGAATCCCTGTTGGTCTTGTGCTGGTTTTGGTGTTCAATGCTTATTAAAAAGTCACGAGTCTTTGAGGTTATTTTTTCCCCAGATCTTAATTTGTGTTAACAGATTTAGCTGATACTGAACCAGTTCTGCTCATACGCGCAAGGACCAACTTCTGGAAACGATCCAAGTGTCCAAGATGTTTGAAAGTAATTAGTTTTCCTCAAAGCCTTAGGCTTTAAGTGTTGATCTGATGTATTTCAAAGGGATTTGACTTTCAGAAGAAGGGTAGGGTCAGCATTTTCTGAAGGAGGGGCCCTTCTGGGGAGGGTGTAAAGATGGGCACTTGAAATAAACTTACCACGTCTCAGAATCTGGGGGGATTTAGGGTAGCATTTTATTTATTTTTGGTTTTCAGTACGAATAAGAGCAAGGTGTTTGTGAAGTGCCAAAAGTATGTACTGCTATAATACTATATAATAAAAGGCATTATATCAGCAAGATGTTTGGCCTTAAGGCTGCAAACCTTCCCGTCTCCGCTGATATTTTTAAAGGCTTTGTAAATCGGGCTCCATGCTGATCACAGCAGAGTAGATCACATCTTTTGCCCCCTCATTTCCGGAAGCAGACACATTACAAGGGAACAAGCATCATATGATTTACCCTGTGTTCCTGCCTTAAACATTTTTTCCCTGTGATTGCCTCCCCTGGCATTCAGTTCCTTGAGGTCACTGTCTACTGCGTGCCTATTTAATGCGTGCATGTGGATCGTATTATTGGTGTTAGTAAGACTACAGACAGGCATAAGCCTTATCAGGATTGGAGTTAGAGACTGTAAACTTCCAGGCAGGTGCTAACTTTTAACATAGCCACGTACAGTTCCTAGCCCAGTGACGTCTGAGATACTTCTATGAACTTTTGTGACCATTTTCTTTTCTCTTTACAAGGTAAAATGTGACCTATTAGCCAAGAAGGTTGTTACAGACTCCTTGTATTTCTTGATGTTTTTTCCCCATCTCAGGATTTAGTAAGTTGACTTAAAGCTAGATAGGTCGTTGGTTTTGGCTTTGAGAACTTGTCAGTGTCTTTGGCATAATTAATGTATCTGACACAGATAAATGCCCACAGACTGGGAAGAGAGCTAAGTAGTTACCACTGCATAGAAAGCATTGCAAGCTCTTTGATCTTTCCATGAGAAATGGTTTGGTACTCTTCACTGGTCACTTACCTTGCAGGTTCAGTGAACCTATTCTAGGAAACTGTGTACAGAAAATACACATCACACTATGAAAACCTCCCTGGCTTGACAGTCCACTTCTGCTAAGCTCCTGCTAAGCACAGAGTGCTATTCCCTCTCATCCTGACAGCACGAGACAGTCAAAGGACTGTATTTGCTATTTCTTTATGTGATTCTTTTGTTTTAACGCGCCCATTTGGAAGCCAGGCTGTGACGCATGCTGTGGGGAGGCACGGGTACAGCGTAGAGCAATTCTTTTGAACCTTGGATTGCAGTGCTCGTGACCTCACTCCCAGCGGCAGGGAAGCCAAGAAGCTGTCCTGTAGTTTTCTCAGGTAAACCTCTCGCTGTTAAAACCATAAACACCACTGACATTTTCCTCCTTGCACCTTGGATGCAACTTTTTCATTTCTCCTACTTATGAATTCTTACTCTTAAATCCTTTGCAATTCACCTCTAAAACACAAAAGGTGAACATTCACAACTTTCCTCCCCCCTCCATGGTGTCCAATTACAGAAACATACAATTAGGGATGTTAATGACAGATTATTAGGCATTAACCTATAACGCTGTGCTCCAATAACAGCAAAAATGGGTCACACTGTAAGTATAATTATCCTGCTTCTCCAATAACACGCCCCAGTCGTGCTTCTTTTCTGTGATACCCCTTGTATTTCAGTACAAAGCATGGGCAGCTCTAGTTGTCTTGGAGGATGATCTGAAGTGGGTTGTTGAACTGGCTGGCACATGAGCCTGGCCTTCAAAAAGACTGAACAAACTAGGTTGTAGCATCTTTGCAACTTGGGAGAAAAGCAGAAAAGGATTTAGGCACCTGCCTTTGTTACCTGCAGTTAGGCAGACAGACTCCATTTCACAGAGGGATAAGCCAAGGGATGGCAGGAGAA